TGGAGTGGGTGCGGTGCGGTTTGCGACAATTTTTGTGGAGACACTCAGATTCCGTAGGAACCGGCTTGCAGCCCGGAGAAGATTTTCTATTTAACCAACTGCAAAGGACGTTAGTGGAAATTTTTGGAAGTAATAATTGTATTAATATTAATAATACAAAAAATATCGTCCGCAATTTTGACCAGAGTTGACTGAAGCCTTTCTGGGCAAAATTTTACAATCTTTATTAACCATATTGGGATAATAATTTGGCATTACATTTCTAGGCTCGACAGCATATTAAACGCGCAGTCTCTTAGTGAACCTGCGATTGAAAAAAAAAATGGAAGTGATGAGCAAAATATAGGACATAACAATGTCGGTGGAGTGTGACAAGAATTTTCTTTGCTAGGGAGAGAATGAAGTACTTGTATACGATCTATTGTCTGGAGTAATCAACGGTCATAAGCAATTATTACGGCAACCCAGATTGAAACAGTTTGTGCAAATGCACTCTTCTCTTCTGTTGCTATGTATATTTCTGCTGCTTTTAATCCACACTATGTGCTTCTTTGAAAACTTTGTAACAAATTTTATTCTTAACCTTTGTTTTTGAAGGAAATTATAAGATCTCTATTTGGAATTTGTGTATAGATGGGTTTTCATATTTCCTCGTTCGCCTCTTAGTAGAAAACGAGAGAATTAAGAATAATTGTTTCAATCCCTAAAATTTTAAATTTCATTTGCAGACTAATGCCTTAGGAAAAGAACTGGTAAATATTAGACATAACTCTGGAAGAACGGCTTTGGGATTTGGTGTTACGAATGATGATGGGCATCCTGTAATATTTTTCCCGGTAATAAAGAAATCACATTTCTTATGTAGGTATTGAAGTAATTCTTCAAATCGTAGGAATTGTACATTTTAGAATTGTTCTACAGGGTTCAAACACAGAATTCACGAAATCCTCCTGGAATCTACCACCGGACCATGAATTACAATTGAGGAAAGTCGCTTCCCGAGTGTCTGATGGTTCTCCAGATACCCAACATGATAGTGGAGCAGAAACGTCTCAAGAGCTATTCAGCGAATCTGAGTAAGTAAACTAGTATTAAAAATACTAACTTTTCTTTAATTTGCAAATATAAGTCAAAGTGAGTTGATAGAGAGAGTTTCCTTTCTTGACTTGCACTGAATATGTGTGATTTACTGTCAATTTGTGAATTGACAAAAGGACAATTACTAGCATATTCATGTTCTTCGACGATTTTGTCCCCATCCTCCATTCTTTCTTCTCCCTTTTCTCCTCCTCCCTTTTCTCCTCCTCCCTTTTCTCCTCCTCCCTTTTCTCCTCCTCCCTTTTCTCCTTCTCCCTTTTCTCCTTCTCCTTCTTCTCCTTCTCCCTTTTCTCCTTCTCCTTCTTCTCCCTTTTCTCCTTCTCCTTCTACTCCTTCTCCCTTTTCTCCTTCTCCCTTTTCTCCTTCTCCTTCTTCTCCTTCTCCTTCTCCTTCTCCCTTTTCTCCTTCTTCTCCTTCTCCCTTTTCTCCTTCTCCTTCTTCTCCCTTTTCTCCTTCTTCTCCTTCTCCCTTTTCTCCTTCTCCTTCTTCTCCCTTTTCTCCTTTCGTCTTCTTCTGTCACTCTTTCCCTTGCAGCAATTTGGTGTTTGTCTGAATACGTGTTTGTGTATATCAGTGGCGGCACGTGCTTAGGTTTACACAACCCCCAGATAATCGAAAACATTTTATAATATCTAATATCATACATTTTCCTCTTGGTGACATTCAATATTTGAGACATTGCAGCAATATTGATTGCATGAAATTAATTTTAAAACCAGAGAGACTGGCCCTCTTTGCTGCATCTGATGACTCCCAGGTATTGCACAACACTCTTGGCTTATTATTGGGTAAATGTATTTACTACGTTATGGTATTACTACGTATTATTTGGCACGTCGCTTCAAAACAGGTGAACATACTAACTTTGGTGACGCAACGAAATGGGTAGGGAAATGGGTAGGGGTCTTGTCGCTTAGTGCTGTGAGGCGCTGCGCGGCAACCGAGGCTGTTTACCAACATTTTCGTCTGACTAGCTGTAACTTCATTTTATGACTTTCAAGTGTATTGAACGTAATTCAGTCAATTGTTGGCGGTATTCAGTGCATTGTTTATGGTATTTGGACACTTTTTAATTTGATATTAGGTGTGTTGATTCAAAACGATAATGAAGTAACTTTTTTTTCAAATAGAACTATACATATATTTTACTCATGCTGGATTTTCTATCCCTACGGTATTTTTGTATGCCTATAATATTAAAATTGTCTCAAATGTGCAATATTCCTCGTACAATCATAATTGTTAATTCTTATAATGTTTTGTTTCGATATCCTGTGATATATCTGAAGAAAAAATGTAGTTGACGTAACTATTTCAATAATACTTATAACTAATCCTTATTTCCAATCCTTCAATTCCTTCAATCAAAAAAAGACAAAAAAACCTGAAATTTCTATAACTCAGAAACGAAAATGGCTATTTTTCAAATATTGCTTATCTTGCGATTTTTAGAATTCATTTTTATTTATTTATGTTAAACTTTTACTCACCTTTCAACAATTTATAGTTAAAATGTCGGGAAGGGATTCTGGAACTCAAGAAAACGTGCGCAAATAATATTTTTCCCCCATATGTCACATACAATTTTTAGTGTGTTTTGACTGAAATCTAAATCGAAAATGCAAAACGATGCAAAGCACAGTTCAGGGGAATATGCAACAATTTTGCCAGGACTTGAAATAAGATTCGTATCTTCAACTACTTCTATCGGCTTCCCTTGCCCTAGCGCGTTAGCAGGGGAGCGCTGCACCACACTGTGTAGCGGACTGTCACAGAAGCTGAAAGAAAAAATCAAAATTACTCAAAAAATGCTTATCTAACATACGAAAATACGTAATTGGATTTGTCTTTTTACGCTAGTCGTGATAGCCTAAAAATATGTATAATTTCATTAAAAAAAGTGATCTCAGTATGTTGTAAAATACAAGTACATCATTCCTTCATGCACATTCGTGAAAATTGCATTGCAATAACTTCAACCGGGCAAACACTGCACGAGGTGATAAAGTAGCATGAATCGCTCTGCATATTACTGTTCTGAATTTTCGAATTTTCGTCATTCGACGGAGCTTCCACTGGTGTGTGTATGTGGTATGTGTGGTTCACGTAGGTGCGTGAATGTGTGATTCACCTGTGTATGTGTGTGATAAATGTACGGGGGTAATTGTGGGAAGTGTAAGGGTGCGGTGTGCGTGTGTAGAGTGGGTGCGGTGTGCGTGTGTAGAGTGGGTGCGGTGTGCGTGTGTA